GCTTTAAAATTATTATTATTATTATCAGAATTTCAGAAGAGACTTTTGTACAGCTATACTACATCTTTTAAAACTGGGAATAAGGATCAGTAAAAGTTATCTTTGCTGTCCACAAGGAACAACACTGTGTTATGCTGTCTTATGTTTATGTATTTAATTTTTTTCAGTGTTCGTTTAGCTCAAAGAGTCCTAAGTCTACAAAAGAAAAATACCACTCTACAGGATGATTTAGAAAAAGAAACCAAAAAGAGGAATCAATTGGAAGGAATGGTACATCCTTAATTTGATTGATTTATGGACTGATCAGTTGATTGATTGATAAACAAATGTTCATTAAGTTATTATCCTTATAGTTAACAAACTTAGGCTAAAAACCTAAAAGTATTTATTTGGAGGTAGTTGGGGGGTTCAATTTTCTATATTGCGTGGACCTTTTTATGCACTTTTCATTACCTGAATCTTTGAATTAATTTTTTCTTTTACTTTTGTGTTTCCTTAATTGTCAGTTACTCTCTTATGGTAGTAATTGATTGTTGAAAGTTAATATATTTTGCAAGATGTTTAATATTGCCATCAACTGGATATTTTCAGCTCGAAGAGTCTAGTTCTTTGCTACAGAGTTTACAACAGCCACAGACTTATTTGATTGAGGTCATGCGGAACAAAGATGGAAAAATACAAGAACTTACAAAAGATAGCAACCAGCTGAAGGAAGAAATAAAGTAAATAGGTTTCCTTTTTTACATATTTTTTATTTAAAGTCCACTGGGCAATGATACCATTATGTACAATAATGTACAGCTGATAGTGTCATCTAAACATTTGAATTTTGGTTTTAAAGGCATTCATTGTGCATTAGTCCTTTGCATATCAAATGATGAATTTTTTGCATAAATTTCAAAATATTTTCTTAAATCATAAACAGCGATTGAGAATGATGAATTTCACTCATAACAGTATCTTCTTATGTGCACTGTATGTTTTTAAATGTACCATTTACAAAACAAGAGATTGACAATTTCAATTAAAAGCCTTGTTGAATATTGTTTCTCAAGATGAATATGTAATTAAATGTCTTGTTGCTTTAGGCAACTTCATAAGGAACGAAAAGATCTTCTTACATCCAAACAGCAGTTGGCAGCAGATTTAGAAAAACTTCTAGGTCATGGGGAAGTAAGTGTATAAATAATATTGATAATTCATTTATTTTGGGGGAATGAAGTTTACATTTATGGGGGTATGACATAATCTAGAGAGCACCCCAAGAGTGCAAACCTTTAAAAAGTCAGTAAATAAAAATTATTTTAAAATTATAAATCAAATGTCAATCCTGAAAACTTCACCATAATTTGAAAATCCCTTCAGCCTGCATAAACCCACTTAACTCAGAAGCATAGAGTAACCTGTAATCACCCCCCCCCCAAAAAAAAAAAAATAATAATAATAATAAATTGGATTATTATACTTGAATGTTCTATCCATAATGTATTTTTTCTTCTCCTCAAGGAGCTCAGAGGGATGAAAGAGACGCTGAGGTCTACCCTTACTGCACAAACAGCTTACAGATGACAGTTTGTCCTGTTATGTTAACATCAGAAGTGACCGAGTGATTTCAGTGCTGCTGTTTTAATAGTGCACAAAACACAATTAACCATTGCCTGTCACAGTAGTTAATTGCTTACCAGTGACACTTCCTGTATGACATCCTGTCTGTGACACTATTTACAGTGGTTGACAATTTGGTGACATTATTAGTGACAATTGATCAGGTCTCACCATTTTGACGCTGGTGATAAATATTCTGCCTCCGTGCATCTGTGATAATATCCTGGTAATAGTGACCTTGCACTGTTGATGCTGATGACTCTGAGCATCACATAAACTACAACTCTTCTATCAAGATACTGTGTCATTTTGTTGTTATTCTTGTTATCGTTAAGCTGCACTTGCTAAGCTGATAAGTTTTTTTTTTTTTCAGTATAATATTAATGGATTTTTGTAAAAAGTGAATTTTTTAATATTTTGAATGGGATCATGTTTAATTTATTTAAAAATTAAAACATTGTAAATTATTGTACATATTATTTTACGTCTACAAATATGATCTTGAACATAAACTGTTGAGACACGATTGTTCAAGTATTGTACATGTACACGACATTTGATGTCTGTTGCAGAAAGCAAAAAATCGTTGCTTTCTAAATAAACATTTTCAAAAGAAATACAATATTTGTTTTAATGACTTTTAGTTCAGAAATCATTTTATAAGTTCCAGTTTCTATTGTAGAGATAAATCTGCTGTATCTGTAACTCAACCGATTAGTCATTTTTATTTAAAAGAAATTGAGTGTTGCAAAAATATATGTATTCCCCTTTCACGAGTCTAGTGGACAACCCGGTCGTAAAATTTTTATTTCAGATCGTGATTTTCTCTTTGGACTTGCATTTGTGGCAAAGCACTGGTTTCAAAGTTGTTCCAAAAGGCCGTAAAAAACTGCACACATAAAACTATGTGCATAGTATTATCTCGCTTTTTATTCGAATATGCAAAAATATCGAAAAGAACTCATTTACCAAGCAATCAAAAATAAGTATGAAAAACTGCCAAAATATGGTAAAGGTTCAATAGTAAGTGAGTCGGTGCAAAGAGTAGATATCTCTGTGTTCATATCTTTATCAGTACAAACACCGCAGTATGTTAAATTTGTGTCATCTGGGTATTGAGGACATTTGACTCAAGTTTATATCGCCAAAATGGCTAGAACTTTAGTCCTAACGCTAGCAGTTTTAGTTTTGGTTTCTTTGGAAACCACTCCATGCAGCAGTACACCCTCCTCCACGTTTAGCCAGACGATCAAGATGTTTTGGAAGTTTTTGTGGGGAGAAATCGAGGCACCACCCGCGCCTGCTACTGAAGGAGATAAGCGAAACGCAAACGGCGCTGAAAAAGTAGAAAAACAGGATAAGGATCCGGGCTTAATTGAGATTTTGTCACTTGAAGACTTAAATGATGCTGATATTACCACAGACGGTCAGTTAGCAGACGATCAATTGGAAGACGATGATGTGTTTTACATGCCTAATTATCGACGAAAGGAGGACGTGAACAAGGCTGCCGTATCTCACCTTCAGACTTTGTCCTGGTCCAGAGATGGTAAAGACACTTGTTGGTTTGCACTATTATTATTATTATTATTATTATTATTATTATTATTTATCTATTTATTTTTATGCGTTTGCGCGGCCTATGTGGTTTTTAAATGTTTAAAATTCCATCCTACCTGTAGGTTTACCAATTTGCCTAAAGGCAATAAGATAAATGCTATAGATTTGGGCAAAGGAAGGAACAGTGTATACTTTTATTTATTCATTCATCTGTTTGTTTATTCATTATTCTCATTTTCTTGCTTGCTTATTCATTATTCTAATTTTCTTGCTTGATGTTGTAAGATATAGTTAACTTTTAACTATATCTTACAACAGATATCTTTAAGAGAAGTTCACAACCCAGTTAACGTGTTTTTAACGTTGAATTGTAAAGGCAGGTGGCGTTAAATCTGAAAGCGTAAGAAGAAAGTTAATAATAAAATGAAATAAATGAAATGTTTTATTTCCCGACTTTTAAATAAATGAAAATAAAATATATTTAGTGAGCTAAACCAAAAGAGGCTTGGATTGGACTAAGTAAAGCTTCTCTTGAACATCGCCCTCTAGCGTCAAAGTCATTGTTGTATAATAACAAATCTACACGTGAGGAGGACGGCGTTATTTTCAAACCAAAGTGTTTATAGTAGCTTATACTTACAGCGTTTTTCGTGGTAGGTTTACTGGTGCATACAGGTTTATCTAAAAGCTCTATGTAAATGGATTAACGGGGCAAAAGTGAAGTCTAATAGTTATAGCTACCGGACTCGAAACACAGCACTGAACTGAATTGTGTAAATGTATAACGGTTGCTCTTTTCAACTTCAAGAAGCTTCGCTAATTTTGCTCACGAAATATGCCGAAAACTTACTGAAATGGTGTTGTGTTTTGGAGTGTAGTTGATAACGCCCGAATTCGCAAAGAAGCAAAGTATTAAATTTTAGTCTTAGATAGCTACAATAAACACAGTACGTACATTAAATTTCTTTAAATTTTCTTTGTCACAGGGACCACCTGTACAAGTGCATTTGTTGTGTATTCTAATTTCAGCTCACTTTCTTTTCAGAATACAACATGTCTTCATCTAGAACGCATAAGACTCTACACTGGTTCAGAAAGGGGTTACGTTTACATGACAATCCGGCACTATTAGCAGCTTGCACCAAAGACTGTGCTGAATTTCGTCCAATCTTTATCTTGGACCCTTGGTTTGTGAAAAATGCCAGAGTTGGAGTGAATAGGTGGAGGTTTCTGCTGCAGGCTTTGAAGGACTTGGATGACAGTTTGAAGAAATTGAAATCTAGGTATTAACTAAGTGATAAATTGAATTAATGCTTTTGCATGAAGAAGAAAGCACAAATTGAACATGTGCTGCAGAGAAATTTCATGAATATATCTATGGTAGAGCAGATGTGATAGCTGAGACTGATCACAAACCTTTGATATCACTTTCACACACAGACACACACATGTAGTGTAAAACAATCTTGAGGAGGTAAACGTTAAGCATCATTACAGCACTGAGAGCTCTTGATGTACAGCAGAGTTGCATTTTACAGTTATGTGCACCTACATGCATATATTTCTTGTATAAGCTAGCCTTAGTACAGAGTACACATCAGAAAACTAAAAAACAAATACAAATGTGGGATGGAGGGCATGAATTACCTTGAATATGTTTACAGTATGAAGTCACTCGGGTGTTATTATGTTTAAGCTATTACTGGTATACTAGTCTGTATGTGAAATGAAATATTTTATGGTTTCTTATGTCATTTTAAAAGTGCTTGTGAAGTTAAATATTTTGTTTTTCTGCCCAGGTTGTTTGTCTTAAAGGGAAAGCCCCATGAAGTGTTTCCAAAGATATTTAAAGAGTGGGGTATAACTAGATTGACCTTTGAGGTTGACACAGAGCCATATGCCAGAGTGAGAGATGCAGAGATTATAAAGCTGGCTAAGGAACACAATGTTGAAGTTATACAGAAGATCTCTCATACCCTTTATGATACTGAAAAGTGAGTTCCACGAATTGACTTTCTTCTTTCAATTTTTTGTAATTATGTGAATTTCATTTCAAAATTTAAATTTTTTATTACTTGTTGAAGGTCATGAAGGTTTTTTATTTGCTGGCAGTGTATTGATTTAAAAAAAAAACACTCCTCTCATGAGAAAATATGCATAGTACTTTAAAATGCATGGATTAATGGATTTCAGAGTAACCTAGGTCAAATTTTCTTCATCAGGGGTCTTTATTATCCTGAATGTTAAGTATGAACTCCTACCTCTTGTATACGTTTTTATTTATTTGTGAAGAAAGCCATGTTATTTGAAAACATTGTGTAAACATGAGACAAGGTGGGATAATTGTTTTAATTTTGTGAATTAGGAAAAGCAACTTTGTATTATTTTCAGAGTGATTGCTAGAAATGGAGGCAGTGCACCACTGACATATCAGAGGTTTCAGACTGTCCTGTCTCAGCTTGGAGCGCCACCTAGAACCGCAGAAACACTCACCTCCGAGCATTTAAAGGGTAAAACACACAATTTATAGACGAGATAACTCACCCTCTCTCTTTCTCTCTCTCTCTCTCTCCACACCTGTGTATATGTTTCAGTTAATATTGTGTTGTGCCTGCCATTACAGACGTGTAAACAGTACTATAGGCTGTAATAATGTACATTGTTTTGATTCAGTGTTCATTCTAGGAATGTTTCAATGTGGGACAAAGGGCCCCCAACATTAAAAAAAGTGGGTCATTACATTTTAAAGTGGGCCCTTGTTCAAATCTTGAAATTATAATATGTAACGCATGTTGTTTAACTGCTGTGGTATTTATGCTCAGAGATGAGAAAAATTTATTATAAAAATATTTCGACTTATAGGTGATCACATTCAATAAGTAAGTAATAAGTAATTTTCTAAAACAAAACCCTTGACGCTCCAATTTTTGTTAACAAGTATAAGATTACACTAAAATATGTTCATGATTTATTCACCAATAACCATGTTCTTACTATAACAACATTTTAAAAACATTTTTGGCTTCAATTTATGAAAAATCCATGAAATTTTACCTCTTCTGTCCTCTGTCCCATTATCATTGACCCTTGACTAACTGGCATGCACTCATGAATTATGAAATTAATTGTCTCATCCCTGATAATGATATATAATTCGTTGATAAAAAGCTACCAGATTGAGAATGATATCACACATATTTCGACAGCAGAGACATAGGTCTTACTAAAAATCACTTTGAGAATTGTTCCTTTTTTGATGTTGTTAATGAGATTGTCAATGAATTGACACTGTATTGCCTTGCACTGTTTCTCATAATTAGCATAAGTCAGGTGGTGGTCCCTGGAGAATTTACAATGACCCTTTCCCCCTCTTTCAGGAGAAATTCTTCAATTTAGCTGCCAGGTATACCAGACAACATTTAAGTCCTTCCAGACTTGTGAATTGCAATGTCCTCTTAGACAATCCAGTAAACTGATTTCACGACTGCCATGATTGCTCCATCTTTACCTAGAAATGTTATAAAAGTTACAATTAAATTTGAATTTGGGCATATAAACCTGCATAAAATGTTAAGTAGCGTTGAAGGTATCCACAAAGAATACTCCAGCACACTATCCCTTACTTTATTTTTCCCTTACTCACCATGAACTGAGACCAAATATCTGAACACAATAAAATTATGAAAAATGAATGAGAAAAATTTTACCTATATATACAAAAAATAAGTTTCAGGGAAATAACATGAGCTTGGCGCCCTGTGTCAATGCGACGCAGCAAACACATTGTTTACATAGTGGTTCAGCATTGCGATAGCCCAGAATGCACTGTCAAGAGTTCCTCAAACTACACAAATATAATTACAACACGTGGGTCTGGGACCGTCACGATAATTACTTTGTTGTCTCATGCTTTGTGTTATAAATAAATATTGACAAAAATTAATATCTTACCTTCTAAAGCTCTGCAAAAAGCCTGTTTAGCTTGAGCTGCTTCCGACGTTTCTTGCATGGCCGCGGAAGTCTCATGTCGCATAAGGGTACTCGTTCGAAAGTTATTAGTCCCTTGAAAGAAGATATTGTCCTTTTTTTCAATGCATAAGCTGCAATACACCAAGTTTGCGTTATCGTCGTGTACAAGCCACTTGTAAGTATTTCTCCACCATTTTTGAAACGACCTTGAAGTTGCATTGCTATTCGACGCGGTATCAGCAGTCAAGACGGCTGCACAAACTTTTGTTCTCTTTTCTGGTGGGAATGTCTGCTGTGCATGATCATGATCATCTCCGTCGCTACTGTTCTGAGCCGTTTTAGAGTGATCTTCGGGATCGATTTTCTTTAAAAAACTTAAAATACCATTTTGCTTTTTCTCCGTCATCATGCACAATGTACGGGTTGATCAAATTGACCTACATGGACAATTAATCTCAGCCTATCAAGGATTCAGGAAAGGAGGGGCGAACGCCACTGATTTGCATAAAGCGAACGACGTCAGCATAAATTAAGATCTTTGTTAAAACTGCGACGAGTAAAGAATATCTTCGTTACGTTTAACATTAGATCTTGATGTCAAGAGAAGTCAAGTAAACAATCAAACTTCGGCCGTGAATTTGCTGAATTGGAGGGCGCGTTTAGAACACACAAATGCGCCGCTGTTAATTCTCTTGAATTTTGTTGGCGCAACTCACTCTACGAATTGCGTCAACCACATTTTTTCTGCGTCAATGACGCAAGGGCGCGTCCTAGAATGAACACTGTTGATTCATTTAAAAGCAGTAGGCTTTGATATTTTATAATATTTAACATTAATATTAATAAAACATTGCATATAGTTTAAATAAAATATATGATACATTTTTATTTAAATTATAATGATACATTCGTAATATTATATTATTACTGTCTATGAAGGGTGTATTACACCAGTCACGGCAGACCATGACCAGGATTATGGTGTTCCAACTTTGAAGGACCTGAAAGTGGATACTGCTGACATGGGGGAGGTCGTGTTTCCTGGGGGAGAGACCGAGGCACTGAAAAGAATGGAACGATACCTGAAGAAATCTGTAAGTTCATGTTCAGGTCTGCTCTAGTTAATATTTTAGGTACTTGCCCTTAAATTAAATTTTTAATTCAAAACATGCAAATTAAAATTTTAACTCAAAACACGCAAGGAATTGTTTTTTTCAGAGATTTAAGCAGGACGTAGGAAAAACATGTTGATTGTAAAAAAATATGTAAAAGCCTCTGAAAATCCTGTAGTCACAGATGTTAGTGGACCATTATTGCTTGAATGCTTTTAAACACTACTTCTTAATTTACATTATTATGTTTACATTACTAAATTATTTTTATTATATGATTTAATTACATGGCTGCTGTTTTCACACAATAGAACTGGATCTGTAATTTTGAGAAACCGAAGACAGAACCAAACTCTCTTGAACCAAGCACCACAGTGTTGAGTCCATACCTGAAGTTCGGCTGCCTGTCAGCAAGGCTGTTCTGGCACAGACTGCAGGAGATCTACAAACAGTGTAAGGTAAGAAGGAAAAAATTTTAAATCCAATTTTTTTTCATATAAGTAAGCTTAATGTTTCCAATTCATTAATAAAGAGCACCTTATAGTTCAGGTCTCTCTTTTTTTTTTTTTCCAGAAACATTCCCAACCCCCTGTCTCCCTCCATGGTCAGTTACTGTGGAGAGAGTTCTTCTACACAGCTGGCCTGGGCGTGGCCAACTTTGACAGGATGGAGGGCAATCCTGTGTGTAGACAGATCCCCTGGGAGAATAAACCTGAATACATTGAGGCTTGGACACATGTGAGTAAATGACGTGTGTGTGTATATATATGTTTGTACATGCTGGAAAGGTGCACTGACATTGATAGAGGAGACACATACAAAGTGCAGAGAGAGAGAGAGAGAGAGAGAGAGAAACCTTCATACAGACAGTGAAAACAAACACTCACAGGCACATCCACACACACACACACACACACACACACAGTTGCACGTGATAAAACTATTGATATTTGATCTATGCTGTGATTATAGGCCAGAACAGGCTACCCCTTCATAGACGCCATAATGACTCAGCTGCGTCAGGAAGGCTGGATCCACCATCTTGCTCGTCATGCTGTGGCGTGTTTCCTCACTAGAGGCGATCTCTGGGTGTCTTGGGAAGAAGGGCAGAAGGTAGGAGAAGAGAGGAAAAGAATGTAATATTGAGATTGTAAACCAGCAATTGCAAGTGTTCAACCTACCAACAATTCTTATTTTCAGTTCATTTAAATTTATTTAAATTTACTGGGCAGAAGCATAACGTGACCGAAAGACTTGGCGTTCCATCTTCGTCAACACTTGGACCAAACCAAGCACGGCATGTGATGGATCAATTTAATATTTATTTATTTATTATGTTTTAGGTGTTTGAAGAGTTGTTGTTGGATGCAGATTGGAGTTTGAATGCTGGCAACTGGCAGTGGTTATCAGCCAGTGCTTTCTTTCACCAGTATTTCAGAGTGTACAGCCCCATTGCATTTGGAAAGAAAACGGACCCACAAGGAGAATACATCAAGTAAGTTGTGGCTGTTGTAGACTGACAATTACTATACAGTGTTTTTAGATGTAGAAAATGTAGAAATTCTGACCAATTTACATGAAAGCAATGAATGGCAGTATGTTAAGAGCAAATTTGATGCTGTAACATAGATAATGCCAAAAATAAAACTGAGACAAACTTGCAAGTTACCGCTTATATCATGTGCCTTATGATGTAACTGTTGGTGAAAACAGCTTTTTTTACACAATTATTTTTTTTCTTTACAGAAAATATTTACCCATGCTGAAAAAATTTCCAAAAGAGTACATCTATGAGCCGTGGAAAGCGCCTAGAGCCATGCAGGAAAAAGCGGGTTGCATCATTGGGAAGGATTATCCCAGACCCATTGTTGACCACGGGGAAATCAGTAAAGTGAACATTAAAAAGATGGCAGCTGCCTATGCACTTAATAAAGATCAAAATGCCACGGAGAAGGGTAAACCTCTTTATTGATTTGTCATATGATTCTTTTTCAATTCATTTGTATTCTAGTCTAGTAAGTATTTCACATGAAACATTGTTCCATGTATGTGCCATGGGACCTGCTTTTTGAAAGCTTACATTTTTATTTGACAAAATGTGTTACAACTAGGAATTCAGAAAAATAAATTCATTGAAAATTCACTGCAAATTTCAGGTACACCAAAGAAGCGTAAATCAGAAGCTGATGCCAATGAGAAGTCGAAAAGTAAAAAGCCAAAAAAAGGATCGTCGGAAAAAATAACAAACTTTTTAGAGAAATAAAATTAGTTTCATTCCGGAGAAAGGTTGTACATGTACCTCTAACATACTCTAGCTTTTAGCGAGATGCAATGCCTTTAATTCAACACCTATTTGTGGAATTGTAAAATCACAATGGGCAGCAATCATGGTATATTCCTACATACTGACTATAAATCCTCTAAGAAACTGTAGATAACTTTGGACCGATACGAGACGCCTTCCATCATCAAGGTGTTTTGGGCTAAATTTTAAAATAGAGACCGGCTCACTTTGGATGATAATAAAAGGGTATAACAGTGAATTATATTCCAATATTATCAAGAATCGGAATGACATTCCTTTGTAGAATGTTCAAGAACAAAGAACGTTTTTGAGAATAAGGAGGCCTCCGTTATATCGAACATTTTCACATCTTTGTGACTTCGTAGACCTAGACAAGGTGGGGAGTGCCCCAGCCTGGTTCAGTAGACGGTTTCTTCTGAGTAGATGTCGTCGTCTTCATCATTTGGACGAATTCTGTGAAAATGTAAGTAGATTCATTGAAAGAAAGTAATTTTTTATGTGATAAGTAATAAAAATCCAAATCATCTGCAGGGATTTTGATTTTTCAAGCTGTTTGTATCTTGAAGGGTTTGTCATTAAATGAGTCGATGTTATATAGAAATTAAATGTCTTTGGAACCAAGACTTTATAATATTTCCAGCAGAGGAAGATTTATTTAAAACACCAGTAAACAACAGAATTATAAATCACTTCAACACACACACACACACACACACACACACACAAATAGTCACTTACCTTCATAATCAATGACACCGTCTTGTTTCGTATCTATCTTTGCCATGACGTCATCCGCGTCAAAGCCGACTATGCCCAGTTTGCTAGCGACGTATTTGATATCGTCCTTGCTGAGGCGCCCCGTGCCGCTGCTGTCCAGAACCCGGAACGCCTCCAGATACTCTTCCTCTTCTTTCCGTAGACTGGTATAACCGGAACAGTAATCAACGAAGGCTTGGAAACTGATACCGGAACCTGAAATGGAAGATTAATTTGTGTTTGATTCGGTGGCCCCATGTAATAACAACAACATATTCGAACATTTAAACTTTAAAAAAAATTTTTGATTAATAGAATCGACCTGAAAATGACCAAAGAGTTTTGAATCGAAAAAGACTTGTCAGTTACTGTGCTAGTTTTTTCTTAGTAATAATTACACTTGACTTAAAGGGATAATAACTCTTCGTATGAGACCTATATTTCACAATAAAAACCTTGTGAATAACTCATAGAAATATAATATATTCTGTTTTACCATAAAAACAGCTGTTATAGCTTTTATGCTGATATTTGAACTTGTCTTTAGACCACGTGACTTCCATTGATGTCTATACTATGTTAAAATCTCTTAAGAGATTTTAACAAAAAACCAAACTTTTTAGAAAAAAACCAGGGACTAACTTTGAATGTAAAAATGGATTCATTAACCATTGGTAAGTATGGGAAAATTGTTGTTTACTCCAGGAAAATTCATTTTTTGGTCGAAACGAAGAGTTATTATTGCTTTAATGAATATACCCACCCCACTCCCACAATCCCGTAAAAACATAGAAATATGTTCCCTACTTTCAACACTTATAGCATCTATCATTTCCTGAAGTTCGTCATTGGTAGGTTTGAAGCCTCTTTTTGTCAAAATTGCCCACAGCTCCCGTTTTGCTATTTGTCCATTTCTTGAATTCCTATTGAAGTAGCTAAGGAAGCCTAAATAAGAAAATATGACTTAAATGCGTTCAAATCAACCAGAAATCCAATCCACAATAATAAGACTAGAGTTGGGTTTATTACAGTTCCGTCTTTAAAAGGCTATGGTCCGCCAGAGAAAGCGTTTTGAATTTGTAGTTGTCCCATTTCATGAAAAACCTACGTAAAATTTAAAACCAAAGTAAAGCTTTTCTACTGCCGTACCGTAGTTTATAAAAAAGAATGTGGAGCAACACTAGTTGATAGCTTACCCTGATATTGAGCCCCGGTCAGATTAAATAGCGGCTATAATAAAGAGAAATACGTGTCAAAACATCAAAGGCGGATACGGTAAGGAACAAAACGAGACAAACCGAGCAATTTTTACACCTCTGTGTTAAATTCTCCTTGTCTGCGTTCCAGAGAAACCGTAGATTCGCCAGTCAGTTAAAACCTAAAATAATATCTAGCCAGCGGGCGGATATATAAATCTACTATATGTAGGTGTATAATCAAATAGCTTGAAAAGTATTAAAACGAATCGGAATGTTTTGACGCAGAACAAAAAAAATAATGATAATTTAAGAATCGTATTTGCACAGTTGCACTAGACCATTAAGCGTTATATTAAGCGTCAAAATTGATTATGTTTAAACTAAAGAATTCCTTCGAAGTTGCAATAATAGTTTCTTCCAACCAAAAATACACACCCCGAAACATTGGAGCTGTTATTACACAAGACACTATTACTGTAACTTTCTGCGTAACATGGCTGGGAAAACTATATGCCAGAATGTCTTCATATTCAAAAGTGAAGCATTGAAAACTCACTTACAATTGGAGTTTTAAACTCACCATCTTTGTTGCGGATGACTACCGTTTGACCAGTTTCTTCACCTTTACGTGGTGCACTATATCAGTCAAAGGGAGGGGGAAGATAGCAAATATAGCAAAATGACTTTTAATTTATTATATAAATTCACTCGAATATCGTTTGTTCTTGACAACCGAGGTGAAGAACGTTACATATTTCTTTTATAGAATTTTCAATATCACTTAGATAAATGTAAAGAAAAGTCGCAAATTGTTTACGAAGTTATTTATTTTCGCACTCTCCCTCTATCCACACGCAATGTACAGTGTCATCGTCGACCAGCATTAAG